CCCTTCGTGCTTATCTTTGCACTTGTCCAGGGTAAAAGTCAGCATGGAGTCATCACGGTTTGGTTTCCTGGTGAACAGTATCCCTTGTAAATGGAGAAGATACAGTAAACATCTTGAGTTGTGAAAGGCTTTCGACATTGCCTCACATGCCATTCTTGTTAGCAAACGAAGGAACTGTTGTCTAAATTCAAGTAAGGAGTGGGCGCAAATCTGGCTTGAAAGACATAATAATTACCATGTACATCCCTATGAGCTTCTCAGCACTGCTCCACAGTGACCTGGGTCTGTTGCCGCTCAGTATTTGAAACAGTAGCCTAGGTGATGGGCTGGAACACGTGCTTATTAAATTTGCAAGCCTTATTGTGCTGCAAGAGGCTGCAAGCATGCTGCAGGATGGAATTCCAGTTCAAATTGCTCTTGGTAGATTGAATAAGCGTTTTGAAAAAGCCTGATCCTCTTTAGCAAGGACACTTAAACAGGACTAACGTCTACAGCCATCTAATGGGGAAAAGCCATGCAGCCACAATGTCAGCCACAATGCTCCAGTGGGCAGAATGGAGCCCAAATCTAGCAAGAGTCAATAGTGACTTGCTGTTTCAGAGGAAGGCAAACATCATACTGTAGTGTATCAGCAGTGGTGGCTGAGAGACATACCAAGTAGCCTTGCCCCTCTTTGTGGCTGAGAGACATACCAAGTAGCCTTGCCCCTCTTTGAAACCCTGGTAAGGTCTCAGAGGACTAGTCTGCCAATAGCCTTTGAATGCATAGAAGTTGCAGAGAAAAAAAAATGTGTTGTCTCAGGAGTAGTTGTCCCCCCAGATCAGAAGGGAGAATAAAGACAAGCCACTAAGATAACCTCACAGGAAGTCTTCAGGGTGCCCAAAATTTGAGACAATGAATTACAGTCCACATCGTCTCTCCGGTATCACTGATGCCATCTCAAGATGGACAGCACAGCATCTTGAGGAAATCTTGGGCTCCCTTCCTGCCATAGGGGCTGCAGTTCTCTCTTTGGTCTCAAGTTTCCAAGGGTCTGACTGCAGGGAAGTCAAGAAGCTGGAAATTTGTTCTATGAGAATTTCAAAATGTATGGTGCTATGAGAATAGGACGTCCTCTTTCATAACTAACCATGGAACAGTCGTGTTTCTCATGGAAAGGAAAATATTTTAAAAAACATTCATTTTTATTGCTTTAGAATAAAACAAAGCCTGAAAACAGCATTCTGAGTCTTAAATGTGGCCAGCACGCTCTTGCCGTGCTGTTTTCACTCTTGGTGAAGGGCAAGTGTTGGGACTCATTGCTCAGCTGAGGGGCGCTTTGGGATCTGCAGGTCTCAGGGCACCTGAGCTCCCTACTGCTCAACAAAACCCTCAATGCACCAGTGTCACCATGTGGTATACACCATGGCAACGTGTCCCCATCACCACCTGGGCATTATTAAAGGTTCACCAGTAGACTGCATTGTCACTCTGCACGTATTCAGTAGTGCCCATTGAAATCCAAAGGTTTTCACAGAAAACTTGGCCTGGAGCAAAGCAACATTTTCTGACATCTGTCACATACGTCATGTCCAAGAATGCTCTTTGGAAGAGACATCCTTTGGTTTCACAAGTTTGTTACCAGAAGAAACACCAGTAGATGGAGCACAACGCCAGGCAGCTCCTCTGCTGTAAAATCCATCAATGTCACAGCCCTTCACTGCCCACAGCTTGTGAAAACAGACCTGCGAAACTGCTGCCAACCTCATGCCCAGCTCAAGATTTTCCTGCTGCCTTGCTCCAGATAAGGGCTAGTTCTGCTTTGATGTTTAGCACCTCATTCTTGGCTGATTTTATTAATGTGGCACTTGGGCTTAGCTCATAGAGGATTCATGCAATCTTCAGATCCACCCCTACAGTTTTTCACAAGTGTTTACCACACACTAGCTCTTACCAAAAGTTTTTGCAGCTTTTAGCTGCATCTTCAACAATTTTCCCAAAGCCACAGTGCAAGTTTTCACACACAAAAAAAGGAGGATGTAACTTGCTTGTGCATCATTCTTCTATAAAAGAGAACAATTAATATTTCCTTCTGCTACACTTTGCTTTAGTTTCCCAAGGCCATACTGGTCTCCCCTATTGTACAGAGTGTAGTGAAGCTCTAATCTTGGTGTTCATATAGATGTGACAGCAGCAGTGGATGACAATCACACAATCATGCAGAATCACAGAATGGCCAGGGTTGAAGGGACCTCCAGGATCACAAATCTCCAACCCCCTTGCCACATGCAGGACCATCAACCTCCATATCTAGTACTAGACCAGGCTGCCCAGGCCCCATCCAATCTGGCCTTGAACACCTCCAGGGACAGGGCATCCACAACTTCTCTGGGCAGCCTATTCCAGAACCTCACCACTCTCATAGTAAAAAACTTCCCTCTGACATCCAACCTAAATCTTCCCTCCTTCAACTTCAAATGTTTCCCCTTATCCTGCTGTTATCTACCCTTGTAAAGAGCTGACTCCCCTCCTTGTTTATAGGCTCCCTTTAGGTGCTGCAAGGGGTACATACAATCATCTGAACATTGAGAAAAACCCATGGCTGAGACAGAGAAGGCAAACACCACTCCAAGATACAACCCTGAATGTTGCTTTTGGTCCACATTTCAATCTTCCCCCTTCTGCTATGCTGACATTTTCCCCACAATGCCAAATACAGAAAATCTCCCTGCAAATAAACTATTTTGCAAGCACAAGAGAGTACAGAATCAGAAAAATAGCAAAAAAATCCTTCCTACCTGGAACAAGAAGAGCAGACTGGATAACGCTATGGCTGCCAGTGTCAGTGTCAGCCCGTTCCAAGGAGTCACTTCCCAGAATGACTGGTGGGGTGAAAGCTTCTTGGAAGAGCAGCTTTGTGCAAAGGACAGTACAGAGCACATGGTCCCAAAAGCAGATGCTCTGTTCCATGGGCCTCTGCTCTTTCATGGCAAATCTTCTCATCATACTTTCCGTTTGTAAGAAGTTCTGTAGAAATGATTGCTCTCCGAGTTACTTACAATAAAGAAATTGCTTCATTAAAACAGAACGTGCTCAGCAGACTTTGAAAGGCCCATGCCCATCACCTTCTGTCACTTGCCTTTTGTGATCAATTGTACCTTGAACGTATGTGAGCTTACAGCGGTCATCTCTGGTGGACTTTTTTCAACATTGCCCTTCCAGTTTCACTTTATCCTGTTACACACAGAGCCATTACCATTTTACAAGGTATGGTGTTTTCTTTAAGGTCTCCTCTGGTATCAGTGGGTGGACTGTGATATTTTGGGGCAGATGGCTGCAGTGTCAGGGGACACAAAAGTTCTGTAGTGATTCTATGTAATGGCTGCTATCATCTCACCATACTGTTCCTGCGCCTCTTCGCAGAGCATTCACTTAAATTAGATTTTAGCAAGGGTTAATTGTTCCCATTACCCATTGTTTCCTACTGTGGGTTTGCCTTGAAACCTTTGACGTTCTCTTTATTGTACCTCTCGCTGTGCAAATTTCCTTGTTTTGTTTTGTTTCTCAAAGTAATTTTTAGATGATTATTGTGTAGTTACAGAATTAGAGTAATAACATCTAATTGTACATCTGAAGCAAAACCATGTAATTGTGGGAGACTACGTTCAAGTTAAAGGAAGAAAACCTCTCTGCCAGGGCTTCTCGTGGTTTGCACAGTGCATTTACCAGACAGCATCTCTTTGACCGCATCTAACCTGCAATTTGCATGCACAATTGCATTATTTCAGGATGTAACAGTAGCTACTGCACTAAATACAGCATCTATGAACTCAAAGGATGTATCAGCATTTAGTAGTTCTGCCAAAGGAAGAAGGGCCATCATGTCAGTGGGCCTTACCTAGAACAGATTTCCTGGATGAGCACACTTTGCTCTCCTGCTGATTGCCCATAAGCAGCCAACAGGGAAGAAAGGCCATGTAGGGTTGGAGCAGTTGAAAACTGGGCATTAAAATTACACTTCTAATGGACCGCTGGCTTTTTGCAGAGCTTGTATGTGATATAATAGGAGACAGCAAACTGAGCTTTAAATATTGCTGAATTCTTCTCCTCTGTATTCAACATTTCGTATCAGTTTTGTGTGTTTGCTTTTTAAGTCTGATCACACAACTCAAGGATTTAAAAATAAAAATAATTTGAGCGTGATTGAATGCTGAGATCTGTGTGTATGAAGAAATCCTGGACACATAACAGGGGGTTTTGCAAATTCTTACATGGTGTTCTTTAAGGGTCAAATGTTATTTGGAAAGCATCTTAATACATCACTGGCTGATACAAATGAAAATACATTCCAGTTCAGTCTTACAGACACACAGATAAACCTGATCTTCAGCATGAGCCTTGAGTAGATAAACTGAGATGTTCTGAGTGACAAACTACTGATACGGAAATGAAACATCCCAATCCAGCAAGGGTTTCCAGTTAAATCAGTGGGAGTCAGAAGCACTAAAATCATACAAAGCAGACTCTATTGATTATTAATCTCCATCAATCTTTCACAGGAAATTGTATTGGAAGTCCTGAGAGCAAGACTGCTAGCTTCAGGCACGATGATTTGTGAGTGACGTTGCACATGGATCCAGCACAAAATGCCCGAAGTTCTCAGAAGATGCATCCATATAACTGACAGCAATAACTACCTCAGCATCCCTGCTAAGTATTTACTTTCTTTCCTAAAGCTCTGTATTGAAAAAAGATTATTAAAAGTAGACACATAAAATTTAACAAACAAACAAACAAACAAATCAGCCAGTGGATCTGTTTCTACACTGATTTATACCTGTACTCCACTACCTTCACAATTGGCTGAGCAACCTGAGAGATGTAACTCAGTAACTAAGAGTGGGAGAGAGCTCATGGGCCAGTCCCATATAGTTCAAAAGAAAAAAAAAAAAAAAAGCCATTTCTGCAAAAATAATTTAGCTTCTGCATTTGAAAGCGAGAGCAAGATAAATGGTGACACATTTTCATCCAAGATGTTTATTAAAGATGATAAGGGCACAGCACACAGACAAACCACATCCTGAAGCATGGTTAAGCTAGGTTTCACATTCTAAAGCTGTGCAGGCAGCTTGCTGTTTCTCCATCTGGAGAGCTCATTGGTACCTCTCTTGTACACATCTCTGCAGTTTTAGATCGAGAAATTACAAACACAGCCTACATTTATATGGGTGTCATTTACTTCACTTTTTATTAAAATCATCAGCTACAAAATAGCCATTTCGAACATCCCAATCCTAAATAAGCAACTATGAAAAAAATTACAATAGTCCTGAAATGAGACCACAATGGACGTGATAAGGGGTCAGAAACACAAGAAGATACAGAGACATCAGATAAGGCACTCACATCACACTGAAAGGTTAAACCATACCTTTGAAAACATCAGTGTACTTGTTGATCTGAGACACACTTTCTGCAAACACTGAAAAAGTTCCATTTTCCCCTCATTTAAAAAAAGAACTATAGCCACTACTGACACAGGAGAAACTGCTACTTCAACCCAACATGTGACAGAAGTCCCACAGTACCTGGAAACAGAAAAATGTGCTGACATGGAAAGAAACAACACTTTTTTGACAGTAGTGGTGTCACAAAACACCAGGTCAAATTCTCAGCTGACAGCAAGTGACACACTTCCTCTGAGTCAAAAAATTAAGTACTCACCAAGACTCTGGATAACAATAAAAGAATCCTGACAGTATTCTCTCTCCCTTCAAGGACAAAAAAGAAAAAGTGAAGGGTTAACAGTCCTATCTACCTTCAGAAGCAACAGCGAAGTCATCGCATCCATCCAGCAGCCCTTGACATGCTCTGCACTCCACCCAGAGTGGCTGAGAGGCTAAATAAGCTTTGTGGGCCCTGCATTTAGTTATGTGCTTTACAAAACCATAACAACTGGCATACCCAGAAGCACTAGATAGTAAATGATAAAGCATTCTGCGAATATTACAGTGCAGAATCAAGGGGCCATGTTGTGCCATTTATTTTTATGTTAATATCAATGTGGAGTTCAGCTTAATATCCAGTGACTCGCTGTAATAGCAACAGAATAATCACTTCCAGGACACTGTTAAGGACATCTGTCAAGTTCTGCAGATTTGACTCCTCCTTCTATCTACTGCTCTGACAGTGTGACCTCCTAGGTTATCATGACCCTGCTAAACTTTCCATACCATCATCCTGGAGGTGGGAAGTAGGAATGTCACGCGATGTTGGATCCTAGCATAACGTGAGAAATGAAAACATAAAAGCATTGTGTTTAAAGACAACTTTCATCAACACATTACAGCACAAAGATCTGCATTGGTCAGTGCTATCTCAAAAACAAAATAAGGAACAAACATCAAAACAATAAGGTAAGTAGGTGTTAATCAGATGATGAAATATGTTATTCTCATTAGTCTGTTGCAAGAAATTCACTCCAAGAAATACATCTCTAGCTTTACAAAGCTGCCCCTTTTATATCTAGAATGACAACAAATCAAAAGGATACTGTAATTCTTAACACAAAGTTTAGAACTTAACTTTGCAACATAAGATTAACAAAAGATACTTGATGGCTCCCATCATAAAAACAGGCAGGCTATCACTGATCACCTCCACGTTGATTTCAGTGCCAAAGTATAAATTATACACTGATAACATAAAATCAAGTCATCTCATATCTAATATAGGCAAATACAGACTGACGGTGAAAACTATCACTTTTCTACATGTTTAACATATAGTTGCCAAGTTTAAAAATACATATCTTTCAGGTACATATACTTTTTTTTTTCATCTGTTATAATTTTAAAGTGCATCTAAATCCATTAAATAAATACTTATGCTTTAAATATAGTTCAGAAATTATAACTATAACCAAAGAGGTAAGAATTTCTGAATTTCTGACACTTCCAATATTCTCAGCACTGCTATTGCAGTGTAGGCAACGTTGGCAAACAGTGACCAGGCCCAACTATTTGATTTTACAGAACCACAAGTCGTTTAGGTTGGAAGGGACCTTAAGAGGTCATCTAGCTCTACTGTCTCAAAGCAAGGTCAGTGTTGACTTCTTGGGGCTTTGTCCAGCCAGGTCCTGCTAACCTCAAGGATGGTGACAGCACAGCTTCGCGTTGTTCTGCTGCCTGTAGTAGTGCTCACAGTGGGAAATTTGGGCAATTCACCTAACTGTTCCTTGAGGACAACTGAGTTCCTTGAGGAACTCTTCATTGAAGTTCACAATTTCCAGTCTTATCAGTGTAAATATCAGCCAGGTCTCTACTCTTAAATTCATACCAAACTAAAATATTGACAAAGTAGACAGAGTACTAATGAGTGTTTTAAAGCTCACTGAGCTAAATTTGCTACTAACAGTAACTTCAGAGGAATATTGCCTGCCTATATAAGCAATCAGTCCGAGCTACGCAGGCACCCCATGAATAGCAGCCCTCTCTGGGATAAAGACACCATTTTCAGAAGTGCTCCCTGCTCCAGGAAACGCTTCCCAGAATGGCCGTGGTGCTGCAGGCACTGCCCTGTCCCAGCTTCCATCAGCAAATACTTTCCTGTGGAGGGGAATTCTACCTGCAAAACTCTGAACGTCACAATGTTAAATGATAGTTTCCAAACTATACGTCAAGCTTTTTACTACCTTTCACACAATAGCACCAGAGCACTGCTGCCATTCTGTCTCCATAATCATCACACACAAGCAGTGCCCGGTGCTGTAGAGTTACAGCTACAAGTCCTTGGCAAGCAGTTCTATCTCATCCAGCAAGAAGTCCATGTCCTCTCGACTCACTTGTGGGCTGATCACCACCTGGCGGAAGAAGTTGACTTTGCCTTGGTTAGGCTGGTACCCAAGCATCATGCTGCCCTTCTTCATCATCCTTTCTTTAACTACAGGAGCAACCTGAAAACAGAGAAACGAAAGTGTTGTTGTTACCCTAAGGAATACAGCAGATCTGTACAGGAACTGTTTTGTGCCTTAAGAAGCTTTTTTGAAGTGCCTGAGTTTTGCACCCTGTGGCTGCTTCCCAGCTGCCTGCCCCAAGAAATATTACAGTTCAAACCTTAAGACTTAGAGGCAGATTGTTCACTGAAACCCTTAAGTTCTGGGACTCCTGGGAGAACCAATGCAAAATCTAAACCCCTCAAAAGCCCACTGCTCGCAGCATTCATCTGCCACATGGGAAAGCTCAGGTTAATGTCTGTAGGCCCTAGATTTAGAGAAAAGGCTTGAGCTCAGAACACCAGCTGCAGCTGGTTAAGGGTACACTTTATCTCCTTGTGCTAACTAGCCTAAGCCTGACTACTTTCACTTCTGGGCCCTTCAGCTGCCACACCTGCAAAGCAGCTCTCTCTAGAGGACACTCTCCATTACTCGTGTGAACTTTGAGCTGCCAGAGAAGTCAGAGCAATGCACTATTAAGGGAGAAGTCCTGATCCCAGAGGTTAAGGTTTCATCTTTAGATTTACAATGAAAGTAACATTTGGCTACACCACTCTTGTATGCAATGGGACGAAATAGGTGTCTCAGAACTGAACAAACTATAAGGAAGATTGGAAGAGTCAAGTCCTTGTAGTTGAGTACTTGATCTCATCCCAGCAGGGCTATTAACCTTGTCCAATTAATCTTGTGCTTAACTTTAAGCATGTGAGTAGTTCTTCTGTGTTCTCATGCCTGAAATCAGTCATAAACTTAAATGCACTGCTTGATTAAGTACTCTATTCCTTGGAAGACAGAATTGAAACAAGTAATAGTTTTAAAAATGTGCTGCATTTTAATATATTACTAATAATACTGATGCATTTCAGAACAGTTTATTCCTTTGCATACTTTTGTGACAGTCTGACTTTGAACAAAACAAATAAGTATAGGACCTAACCTTGACTTTCGCATTAGTTCATTTCAGCTCTAGAAGTTAGTGCTGGAAAATACCACCAGATCTGCAAAAGAAAAATGATGGTGCCAACCATGCCTTAATAGCTCTGTTTTTACATGGCATGTCTTAGTGAGCAGCTCCCATATAGTTTGCTTAGATAGAAACATCTCCAGTTTTCTACACTAACAGCCCGAATTTCCATATTTGCTGAATGGTGTGTCTATATTATCACTGTTTCAAAATGCATATTGAATTCAGAGGGGGAATGCTCATGGTTCTAACTTAATTTACCTCTCTGAAATAACTTTGTCTTAGTGACAAAGCTACGTGTTTTATTTAGTGTTTGTTTCAAACCCTGAGAGTGATGGAGTTAGGAATTCTAATTAAAGTCTACAGTGTGGCATCAGTATGAATTATGCACCTGAGAGCAATGAATACTCTTTCAGAATGCAATCTGCAACCAGAAGTTTGTTTTTTTTTGCATAGTGCTGCAAGCAAAAATTAAGCAGTAGTTTATGAAAGCAGTTCTGATAAACATTTGGGAAACAGATAACAGTAAGAACAGAAAGATTCAGCATTACAGCGGAAACGTTAAGATGCATACCATGATACCTTCACTCACATCCAATAGCACCTCCACTGTACAACCTAATGTTGGGTTGTGGGTGTGCCTCCTGCATAAAGATCCTAGTGAAAGCTAGCAATAAAATCACAATTCTACCATATATCTGGCAACACGTGCATCATTTAGAAATAGAATTCATCAAATTTATCCATATAACATGGAAAGAACACCATCTCCCACCTGGATTTCTGTCTGCCTGGAAAATGATTCAAGGATTCTTCTGTTTTCTTGTTTTGCAGCTCCAAATCTCAGAATCATAAAATCCTTAGAGCTGGAAGGGACGTTTAAAGGTCCTCTAGGCCCAAGTCTCCTGCAATAAACAGGGACTCCTACAGCTAGACAAAGTTGCTCCGAATCCAGTTCAGCCTGGCTTTGAATGTGTCCAAGGACAGGGCATCCACCACCTCTACAACCTGTGCCTGTGCCTCTCCACCCTCACTGTAAAAGTCTTTTTCCTTATATCTAACCCAAACATACTCTCTTTAACCTTGAAACCTATCACAACAATCCCTGCTAAAGAGTCTGTCCCCTTCTTTCTTACAGCCCCCTTTCCAATACTGAAAGGCTGCTTTCAGGTCACTTTGAAGTCTCTCTTCTCCAGGCTGAACAGTCCCAGCTCTCTCAGCCTGTTCTTGTAGGGGAGGTGTTCCACCCCTCGGACCATTTCTGTGGCCCTCCTCTGGACATTCTCCAACAGCTCCATGTCTCTCCTGTACTGAGGACTCCACATCTGGATGCAGTACTACAGGTGAGGCCTCACCAGCACAGAGTAGACGGGCAGGATCACCTCCCTCACCCTGCTGGTCACACTTCTTTTGATGCAGCCCAGGATATGCTCGGCTTTCCGGGCTGCAAGGGCACACTGCTGGCTCATGTCCAGCTTGTCATCCACCAGCACCCACAGGTCCTTTTTGGCAGGCTGCACTTAGTCATTTCATCCCCCAGTTTGTGTTGGGAGGGGAGGTTACCTCAACCCAGGTGCAAGACCTTGCACTTGGATTTATTGAAACGAATCACATCAGATTAACCTCATTTAGTCTACGCTAAAGCAAAATACAAACCCAAAACACAAACAAACAAGCAAAAAAAACAATAATCCCCAGCAACTGGAGTTCTGCTTGGATAGAGATGGATGTTATTTCGCATGAGACAGACCTTTTTGTCTGCAGCAAGTATGCTACTTGCTAAACACTCTTTTCCATTTCAGATCAAATATTCCAAACTGCACCCCAACAAATCACTGAATACATCACTGTACAGTGGCAAAATACGGGTTCTGCAATTGTTTTTGCACAACTTGCACCACTTTGCACAACTTGCCAGTTGGTTGAGTCAAAAGGAAAGACTCTTGGTTGGGAATGCCCAGGCTATGCACACCACCATACAGCTCTGTGACACCATTCAGTCTTAAACACTGAATAACTCAGCAATAATAGAAGTTCTACTTCTGCAGTTTGTGTGTGTTGAACCCTCTAACAGCACATGAGGTAACTAAAAGCTCTACTCTTCCATTCTTATTCACACCACTGTGGGCTGAGGTAACAATGACACAGTGACAGTACTCAGAAGCCATCATGCCCAGCAGGTTTCATACTGAGCACCATATTGACACAGAAAAGAAAAAAAACCTCCTTTATCCCTGCCCTTGACAAGAACCCCCATGTGACGTCTAGTCATGGAATAAAGGCAGTACAAGTGCAAAGGGAAAAGTGAATTCTTAATATATTTTCTCAAGCTCTTCTTTAAGATTCAAATCCCTATGGCAACTTTTAGCCTTTATTGATGTTCCATCAGTTATTTCATCTTTTGTATCATCCTATTGATTCTCTTCATCTCAACATCCAGTGCTCCGCAATCCATCATCCCCCAGATGTACAGTAGCACAAATGGAGACCATGAAAGCAAAAACATTTAGAGCTCCAGCAGTATCAGGGGCTGTAAATATACTGCATTTCAGTTGGTCTTCTCTCATGGAGAGGAAAGGTAGAAAATCTCATTTTCATTATCTCAGTCATCATGTCATTCACCCTCAACATGAATGAAGTTGTCCTCTTAATATTTGTTTTGAAGTGCATCCCACCCTTTCTGAAGGCAAAACAAACTCATCCTACTTAAAAAGAAAGCAAACCTAAACTAATCTAGAAACTATCTTGCAGGGTTATTTTTGGAAAGGTGTTCCATTAGGTATTTTGCATGTTCTATTTGGTAATGTGATGCAGTCATTGTAACAAAACTATTGTGAATCCTGTTCACAGTAAGCAACAGAATATAAGCACAAATGCTTAAGTATGTGTTTCACAAAAGAGTCATTAAATGATGCATAGAGGCTAAGGCTGGGACTTGAGGAGCACTGGGTCTGACTGCTAAGTGAAAGTAAAGGCAGCTACCGATTTGCTGCAGAAAAATCAGACCTATATAGAACTAATTACCTAGTGAGGAGTTCAATGAGTTCAATTCCCACTGAAGTCAATGAGAACTGAGGATGTTCAAATATCAGAAAGAGCTGCACAGCCCCACTCAGGATAGGTTCCTAGGAAAGCAATTTAGTGAGAGCAAGATTGCTTCACCAGTCCAATTATTTTTACAACAAAACTTACTTCAAATTGTAAACCTAATTCTTTATGTTGCCTGTCACTGGAACAGTCTCAGAATTTTAAGTGTAATGTATCCTGAAACTTAAATTCTCTTCTCTCCTTTGTTCTCCTCACCCTGGAGATTACTATTTAAAAAGATCACTCCAGTGATGCTTTAGCTACCAGACGTGCCAGAAAGGTGAGGAGGAAGCACAGTGAGCAGAAGGTCCTCCTCCAGCAGGGCTGCTACAACAGGAGACCCACAGGATGGACCTGCGCATCATGGCCTCCCTCTGCAGACCTACATAGGGGGTTTAATCTCATGCTGCCTGGATTCCTCCTTTTTATAGCAGAGGTTTTATGAGCTGTAGCAACAAGGACATAGTGGTTTGGATCCTTCTCTGTTTACCTGCATGACCGGATAATCTCTTCCCTACTCCCTGCCAGCACTCAACTGAGCCATAAACACCAGAAAATTTTAGCCTAAATTAAAGCTGTTCCCATCAAGAATCCAGACTGCAGCTGACCCTGCAAAATCATTGCAAAATCATGGGGAAGGTGCCAATGTTCCTTCCCAGCTTGCACACACACACATACACACACACACACACAGTGAGATGAACAGCAATGGCCACCATGGACACTGCAGCTGGAGTATCCACACATACCAGGAAGATGGGAAAAGCAATATATGCCCCTCTCCGCATCTCAAGCATCCTTGAGAAGAGCAGTTCTGTGCAACTATACTACAGGGTGATGCCTTAAAAGCATCTGTGCGACCCACAATTGACTCCTCAGACGTAATTAATGCAGGTCTCTCCAATACTCA